AGATTCCTGGAGCTTTAGTTGAAAGGCTTTTAAGATCCACCTTTTATGGCTACAACTCCTGGTGCGCATACAAATACAGCATCTGCTGCAAGTATTAATACTACTGACGCTGTCGCTTTATGTGCCTTTGTCATATATAGAACATAATAATTAACAACCATATTGGTTTCTTGTAAAACCTCGACCTACTTTTCTGCCGAACGTTGAGTGTGTATCTCCTTTGTATACTACCATCGAGCATATATTTCTTTAATCTTTTTTTAGTACAATGCCATTCTCTCTCTCCCTGTTTCAAAGATCTATATTACTAAAATATCGTATATATACACACTTGTATGTTTACCCTACAAATTTTTACAATTTTTTTGAATTAACCGCGTTTTGAAACGTGAAAAAGAATACTCATTTAAACTAAAAACTAAACGATTATTAACTACTTTGTAATCTTTCAGCTATTAAACTGAAGATTTGACTAAATTATTATTAATCTTGATTTATTTGTTCATAAAATAATAAGTAGTGTAATAAGTTAGAAGGGTTACAATTTATTTAAATTAACATTTTATGAAAACATTGACTTTTATATTCACGAAATGACTCTCATAATAGTAAAGAAAGTCCTGGGTGGAATTATTGTCGAAATGTCGCGGTTCTATATTCAATTTAGGTGCATTTGCACGAAAAACGGCACGGCGTGGCACAAGTTTTCACGGTGGAAATATGGAAATCGAGGGCGCGACCTCGTCGAGAGATAGCGCCGAGCAAATTGAACAATAATCCACAAACTCGGTGGCCACTGGATCCGTTGTAATCACACACTGGAATAAGTATTGTTAACAATAAATTGCATGTAGTCATAGCAATATAATAACACGATTAGAAAAGTCACAAGTTCTCGGTCAGGAGAATCGATGCGCTTTGCGAGTTTCCTTGAATGCCGATCGAAAACTGGGTGTCCTTAATACATTTTAAACGTTTCAATTTGCAATTTCAATACCTTCCAGCATTGGACTTTAAGAGTAAAATTGGTGTGAGTTAATCTTACCGATGCTTTTAGTATCGCGTACGCCGGCTGGTAGTAATCGCACTGTTACAGTAGCTTATGTGTCATAATATGAAATTTTATTAAACCTCTAAGAAAAGTATTAAAACTGTTGAAAATATAATTCGGAATTAAAGTAGAAAATTCTGACAATAATATGAGCGCTCTATAATATCTAATGCCATCAGCAATATTTGTGTTACTTAAACACATCGATTGTTGATTAAGATATATGTGGTCATTTTGAAACGTTTTGCAAAAATATAAATTCCCTCTTTTTCAATAGAAATTCTATATGTTCGAACGGAATGCGGTCGAAATATTTCTCAAGTACGCAGGGCACAGATCAGCCTGATCGATGTGTTCGCGATTGGCGTTATAATTGTCGTCGTAAATCTTCCGTTTTAATCTGCCCCTTTGTCTTGGAGAAAAGAATAAGAAAAGATATTCGTGCCGCAATTGAGAATTAGATCTTCTCCGGGATTCAGAAGATTTGAGAAAAGGATAGAAATCTCGAGGCGAATCAAGATAATATACGTGAAAATTATTGGCATATAAATCGTGTAGTGTGTTAAATTGTACAGTAGTTCACAAACGCGGTTCAAGTAGATCGTCGATAATTGTTACAACTCGAGTCCCTGGAATGCAATTTCACCAGCCACAAAATGATGTTTCTACTTCTGAAGTGATGTGTATATGCTGCTTCCCTGAGACCTGATATAGGTCAACCTTACTCCAACGTCTTCCTTTGCTTTTAATCGGAGAATAACTTTGCGCAATGTACTTAATATTGTAATAATTTTTTAATAAGAATTAGAATTTTAATAAGTTAATCTCATTAAGAACTTACACATAATTATACGAGATACATCCCATGCGCACAGAACACATTCATATCACAATTTACGCTCGTAAATGTTTGTGTATTAAAGTTTGTGTATTTTTACTTTTTTTCAATATCTAAATATCGTCACCTTTGCACTTTACTCATTATATTTTTCTTTTTAATTTCTGACCTATATAAGATTACCAAGAAATGAAAGAGAATTGAGTGAATAAATAATATCAACTTGAAAAATATTTTATCAAATTATCCTTAAACTTAGTTAAGGAGACGTTTGTCTTCTCTTTCATGAGTTTGCGCTTTATTCGTTGCTTTGATGTTAGATGTGGAGAAATTAATCTTGTGAAAATATACACCTCGTACTAGGCTCACATTAAACAAGCTTAAAGATTGCACTTAATCCTAGCATGCAATCTTTATGAATGTCGCAACTATTTAATTATAAAAGGCACCCAAGCATCATTCTAACTTGTATCTCGTTAGAGAAATAATTTTGTTTAATCATCAAAATGCATTAAATAAATTGCACAATGCTTACTTACGCGTCTTACCGCAGTTAAAACGAATTACAATATATTGAATATGATTTGATTTATCGACTTCTTCGCGTGATTTCGTGAGAAAGAAATACCAATCAAAACCGCAGAGCCTTATTGGTTCTTCAGGGTCTATCGTTCGGTTGCCTTTTCTTCACATTTTTCACAGTGACGACCGTATCGATTTTACAGAAGGATTTCAATCTGGCCGTTTATTTTATCAAGAATTGTTCTCGATATCGGGACGCTTAGAAAGTGCTGCGAATTAATCAAAGGTAAATTTATTATTCCGAAACATCTGTGACACTTGTAATCATTTCTCTTTGTTCGCCGATGGCGACGGTAAAAGTTAAACGATTATTGACTTGGGAAGATATTCTCGTTCCAGTAAAGAATACACAAACATCAATCTTTACCATTTTTTACATTTATCTTTTTAGTATGCTTCCTCACACGGTTTTCTTCTTACTTATAATTCTTAACAGCGTACTACATCGTGACTCCTCGACCTTATCGCTAGGTATATTGTAATACACTTTGATATTTTTGTAACAAGCTATTTTATCTATTCGACCAAACTCGTGGGCAAATCTCATTTCGTGCGTTACTATTATATAATATTAATATTGCAACAACTTTGTTATTTCCAGTTAAACTTATTGGATTATTCGGTTTTATTGCTGCCGATGAAAATGATGGAAAGCTTGCAAACGAGCGCTGTTATTAGTGTATAATGTCTAGTAACGAGGGCAATGTTTAATAAGATTACAGATTTCTCGCAACTGCTAACATATCGCTTATATCGCTCTGTTCTAACAATATTCCATTAATTACAAAGTATTCGTAATTGTCTATTAATCCTCATGAATATTGACTAAGTTTTGCAAATGTGTATGGATATCGTCATTATCGTATTGCACGCATCGTGATGAATATATTTTCCAGCGATACGCGGCAATCTTGGAAATTTTTTATATATATTCTCCGTGTTATTGTATTTGAAATATAAGACATGTTAATGTTTCCTTATTATCTAAAATTCAATGCTAATATTGATAATATAATTTACATCTATTAACAATATGATGAAATGTTTAACAATCAAGCTGCATTATATGTCGAAAACAATTACTACTTTATTGCATTATAATAGTTTATGTGGATAAGATAAAAATTGATTAATATATAATTTTTTTGACAAAAAAACAATTTTACCAAAATAACAAGTTACATTACTCAAAACAGATGTCAATAAAGAATATTAACCATTAATAAGATGTTATTCACGTCGCTTCATGTCGAATAATATCACTTTATTTTAATACAAGGTTCACCGTCTACTTTCCTCAAACTTTTTTCTTGCTCTTTTAAAAATGACAATAACTTGTTATTACGTGTTCATGATAACGTAAAGTTTATCTTCCAAGGCAAGTGTTTTAATTAAATGTCAATCCGATGTTTTTCGCATCATTTGATATCGGTGGATATCGCTTGAATTTTGCGTCTCGGCTTCTAAGTAAATTTTTGATCGAATGCGTAATTGTCGCTTTTGCATATTTAATCCGTCGTATATCTTTTTATATGATAGCATGTCTCATTGCAACGCTATTTTTTTCTATTTTCCCCACATTGCGATAAATGCGATAAACGCTACTTTCGATTTTTTCTTTCACATGACGAGCACTAAATCTCGAAACTAGTTACATACAATGGTCTGCCCGTGACAGCATCACCGTGCTTGCACGGACAAATATTTTTATGTAACGCGCGAACTGTGCACATGACGCTTTCACGAGTACATACAAATAAAACAAAGTCGTGCGAGATAGGTGACTGATAAATAACCACAGTTGCTATATAATACTGGTGACTTCGATCGTGATTCTATTTGCGCTATTGATTTTCCTGCAGAATTAATACTTTGGTGCTAATTTTACGAACAAAAGTCGATTTTCTCAATGAAAACGCACACTCTTGGAAAAATAATTTTTCGCGTAATAATGTTAGAGATAAGAAATTGGATTCTTATCTCTTATTTCCGAGCTTTTATCTGCTTTAGTAATCAGTTGGATCAAAATACGACAACTAAAATTAGCGTTTGCATATTTAACGAATTTAAGCGTTAGAAATGAAATTTATTCATTGCCATTGCTGCTCTTCATTGTTCGAAGCACCAACCGCATACATACATGCGCACTTTATTGACACAGTATCTGCACATTTTGTTAGCTTGACGTGCAGCTGTGCTGTGAGAGATAAATTGCACTTGGAAATATATGTAATCAGGATAGCCCAAGTCATGATTTTATTATTTCAGAAATTTATTACAATTTTTTTATTTGAAAGCTTTCGATACGTAGATACATAAATCGTAACTGCAAGTTTATGACTTTCGGCTTTTCCATGACTTTACATAATTTTCTGAGTGCTGTCTCTGTTCTACCAGTCAATGTTCAGGCTTTTGTAAGCACCGCAGCACTGTTGAATTGTTTGTTACTAGTGTTATCACGAACTCTAGCTAAGAAACATGAATTGATTGTTGTTATTGTGATTGTAACTGAATGTTTCTTGCTTGCAGCACCAGAGCGCCGCCCAGGCATTGGTGAGTCGCATGTCTCTTTCTCTTTCTTTTTCGTCTCTGATATCTTTTATATGCATATCTAATACATCTTTACATTTCTGTCGCCAAATCGTTCTTGTTTCAAAGTGCTAAAATTGCTGTTAATCCTTTCTGTGGTATCTAAATTAAAACAGATAACTGTGCTTAACAGTATTTTCTCACTTTCTTGAAATATGCCCCATATAATATGTATAATGTGATTTTTTTTAATAATCTAAACACATTGAAATAGGATACATGAACGCATCGATAATTTAAGATTTAAACAAAATCATACGCACATACCAACATATCTACAACTAACTGATATTGAACTAAACACGAATCATAATTATTATCGTTTTCTATTTTACAGCGTTAGATAATATTATGTATTCTTACAATAAATATTATATTGTATGCTGCAGAGAAAATAATACTTTTGGATGAAGTAAGGTAAGCTCTTATCTGCATTAGGAAATCGAAAAGTTAGAAACTGAGCCCCTAAACTTTGCGAAAGTGCGGCAACGATTTTTACGCGATGCCAGTATACTAACTTTTAACAAATTCTATCAAGATCGATCGGAGCTTTCTAAACTGGCTTTAACGCTCTTCAAAGATATTCTAAGCATAAAACCTAATTTATATTAATAACTTTCAAGGTTCTCAAATTTATTTTACACGCAATTTTTGTTATATTCTATTATTAAGTGTTAAATTTTCTGTCTACAACAAATTACTGGTCAAATTTATTACTAATTCAGAAAAAAATAATTGCAATATTTGTTATTGTTGTTTTCCATAAATTTTTCACACATTTTGTCAAACAGAAGTTGATATTGATTGTGGAATGGATGAAGTTTAATTGATACGGTTATATTGATAGAGTTGTATTTTTAATTACATTTGTACAATCACTTACACTTAATCGATGCAATGTTTAATTTATTACGTTTAGTTAACATCGAGACGTGGTTTATGCACTATACAATTTTCAAAAGCAACTCATTGCTAAATCATCAATGAATAATCAGTGAGATTGTTTCGCGTGGTCGATGAAAATCCGTAAGCTGCGATATGAGGTGGAAGCGGAACGACAGCCGGACACGCGTGAATATCAATCTAACCGTCTACAGAGTCAGATAACCCCGTCTGGTTTTGATAAATCCTCGGTGATACCGGTTACGGTGGCGATTTTTGAAACGTTCCGGAATGGCGATTTGTGAAGAATGCATCAGCTACAAAGTACAAACGACGCTTACTGTTGCGTGAGTCGCGATATCGGATCATTCGCTTTGCACTACGATGCAGCAGCGCTCTGTTGCTTTCTGTAGTACGAAATAATTTACTCCTGATGGACGGCGCGGAAAATCCAATCGCTTGGATAATTGAATTGTCGGGCCGATCGGAGGGAATCTCCTGCAACCTTTCGCGAGATCAATCTTTACGTTTTTTTTTGCTAGTATGCACCATCATCCGCACAGAATTGATCGAGCGTTCCTTAAAATGAAACTTCCGCGGAAGAATCTCATTCTGACAAATCTGCCGGATAAACGTTGCCTATGATACGAGGTTATTTCACCTTGAATTCTTCCGCCTTTGAATCTTATTAGGCCGACGTCCTCAAAATTTTAGAATGAAATCGCACGCTCTTATTCGTCGAAGCTTATTGAATGATTAAATACGAGTCTTTGTCTTGCCAAAGAACGACGAGTGTGTTGAACAGCACGCAGAGACCAAACTGCCGTGAGCAACTTAAAGGATCTTGTCCTATCTCATTGATGAAGCAATCGCGCATTTGTAGAACTTGAGTCTAATAAATATCAAAACACCGTAATATAATATGACGACAGCGACGATGCGAAAATTTATTAGAAAAATCGCACAGTAACGCGCAAAGGGTGGAGAATAGAATTTGTTCGCGATTATTATTCATTATTCAGGATTCAATATAACTCGTGCAAAATGATTTTATACGTAAATTCAGTTGAAAGTAAAAGTTGTGTTATTGTGACCCTGTCGACTCCGCTAGGAGAATCTATTCAAAGTGAGAGACTTCGACGAGACACCAACTAGTACGCTAGTGCAGCAGTACTCCCTGCAAACTTCTTCCAATTCTGAGGCTTTCGAGTGGCTGTTTCGAAATGATATTCGTCGGTTATGTCGATATGATATGTATCATCGCGTCCATTAATTTTGCATTTTAATCGAACGTGACCGGAACGTGCTGCTTAAAAGCACCGCGTAGCACCCGCATTATTAAAGTACCGTTATGTAGTTTGGTATTTTAAATACTCCTTTTTCTATTTTTTCTTTTCATATATTTTAATTAAAACGTAGACACATACGTACGACATATGTACGACTTGCACGTTTCAAGCTCACGTTGTTAAAGAAGAGCTTATTACTGCTGTGCGTAATGTATTAGTTTTATTTTGTCTTTCTTTTTTATTTTAATTATAGAAGTATTGAGTGACGTAATGTCACGCGGGAATTTCTGGCACAAATACTGTAATTTATTTGATCACAAAGCAATGACAACATCACCCATTATCTGAATTTAACACTCGTCGAATTTAACACTCTCCACATATTTAATGAAAATTTAGAAGACCTTTCTACGCGTTTTGATTGCGTGCACAAATTATCGCGCATTATCGCGCGCTATCAATATACATGTACATTTGCATACGTGTATTATTATTTCAAACATTTGCATTATGCTGTCACGTGCATACTTCTTTGTATGCTCGTTTTTGCACCAACTTTGACACCATTCGTATTAATTCGAATTGAATCGCTAACAGTAATCTATATCGCATGTGGTAATTATATTTACTTTCTCAATGATTGCCTATTAATTATTGTCATACTCTTTACGCTGGCGTCGAAATGTTAACAACGAGAAGAGAAACTGTTGGTTCGGAAAACATTTTTGGTCAAATAAAAGGCGGCTCGCTTGTTCACATTAAGCATGCAAATAGATATTTCAGTCTTGCTGTCTAGGCCAACTTGAAGACTAAAAGGCTAACGTAGAATTTAATATGCTGCATGCAAGCAACCTCATTATTCAGTCATGTACATATAATTTTATCAATCATTTATCATCCGACATGCAGAGATTTCTTGCTCTGTTAAACATTTTCATTATAGTTTATTCTTCGCAGATATGATTATCTTTTATTCCACGTGTAGGGCATGAGTGGATGAATAATAAAACTTGACTCAACGATTAATTCTTGCGTTTATATGTCTCAACTATGTGCAACGATAGAAATAGAATTTGTTATGACATTTATAACTTTGCTTTTAGAAGCGCTGCAGCCAGTGACATTCTAGATTTAAACGATGCTTTAAGTATAGCATGGCGCAGAATGGAATTTTAAATTATGATTTTACGGTATAACCACGTTGACTATAATACCGCATGTGTGTGATATAGTGACATCTTATTTTTCACTTGCTCATTGATGTGTAAAGAATACATTTGTGAAAAAAAAAACAATATTTTGATAAATAATTTCTGTTTCAACAATATGATTTTCGCTGGAAATATTTCTGTTACTTATATCTTCGACAGTTAATGTATTATGTTAACTTGATATAACGTACTTTGGTTCTCGCATGCACGTGAGTAGATTTAATTCTTGGAGTTTTAATCAAAGATTGTACCCTAGCTATTATGTAAGTTAATCAGCTTATACATGAATCATCCAATCCACGCCAACTTTGATACTTTAATATTAGATGTTAGCCATTTAGAGTGATTACTCAATTCACAGCATTCGCAAACTATCTCACAATTAGTTTCTCCTTCTCTATAGTGACATATAAAAAAACTAACTTCTTGATTTATTATTTTGCCGCGACGCAGCAGTACGATACAATGCGATTATGGTAATAATTACCACTCGATTTCCATCACATGAAACACCCGGCACATTTGCTATTAATTGATTTATAATAAGTCAAAAACAGATTCAATTAAAATATGTTGTAACAATGAATGAAAAATTGTCTCATTTGGCAATTAATCGAACGCGCTGCTTTAAATTTCATGAGGATTATTAATGCTAATAGGAATTATGTTTACTTTTTTATAAAGCATAAGCATTGATATGCTGCATTGTGTATTTATCCTTTGAAACAAAGGATCTGAGAGGATCTATATTGGTGCTTGTAATATGTCATATCGACATCTGTCATATCCACACAAAGCTTGTTTCGTTTTCTAACGTGGGATTTAACAGAAATCTAATTTTACAAGCAAGTCATGCGTGTTTTACTCTCGTATCACTCTCACAGAGATATCAGGGGTTATTATAAAATAAAAATGCAAAATACATATACACATATAATATTTTGATTCCGTTTATCGCATTATAAAAGTTAATTTTAATTCCCCCAATTTGTGAATGTAATCATCTGTTTGGCTCGAATACAATAGTTTATGTAAACTTTATGAAAGTTAAATATAATTGCGAAATAATCATTGTCGAATGCAGCTACAGCGGTACTCTGTCATCGTTCCTACGTCTTTGTATAATTAAAGGAAAGGTATTTCCAGTTCATGAGATATATGTCGTGAACTTTAATTCATCATCAAATTCATCGTCGCGTCGTTAGTTAGCCAACGGGAACGGATCCAATTTACTTCAGTTAAAAAAAAAGTTTTAAGAGATGTCGCGTAGAGGAAATCTGTGACATTTCCCAGAATAAATACGCCAGATACAACCAAATTGCCCTCGACATCGCACATTTTTTTGCATGCACCAGTTTCTTTTCATTTAGGGGATAACACGGTTTTTTCCAGATACATTAGCTTCACAAGTGAATTGTATCCATACATTCGCGATTCTACACACTCTTTTTACGAGCGCATTTAATAAACTTATGACCTGCGGGTATTTTTATCGTCAATCTCACATTAATGTGAATATGCTGCGATGGATGAGGTGTCAAATTGCTGTAATCGTTATTTTGATATCGAATTATTTACGAGA